CTTATTGCCAGAGTAAAGGTAACTATGGACAGCTAAAAAATAAATCTAAAAAGTTCATAATTATCATGTGTAGATTAAATCAATCGTCAATGTTTACCTTCACATGTCTATGAAATAAAAATGGTTAACAATAACCTCAAAAACAAAATGAAAAACTTTAAGCAAATATGTAGAATCTCAAATTAAAACGCAAAAAACATATCATAAAACATATCATAAGAATTTAAATTTATATGGCAAATGAACGGGCTGCTAAGAGGAACAAATAGTTTTTTTATTGATAGAGAATTTTTTGGATACAATTTATATTAAATACTGTGAAACTCTTTATTTTCTGGCGCTTAATTAATTAAAAAATATGGATTAATTAATTATCTCGAAATTTAAATTAATCTCGAAGAAATATAGCAACTATAAATAATAACATAAAATAACATAATAAAATAAAATAGAAACTTACATTTTTCCAGCGACATCTTCAGATGTTTGATTTACTTTTTATTATAATTATTCACGGGTGACTGTGTATATGCTCTTAAAGTTCACACAATTTCCTTTGTCAATGCGATTCTTATTATGACGTATGTTATCATTAAAATTCTACTATATTTTCATTAAGGACCTACGACATAACCTCAGCATTTTTGACGTTTGACATTTCATACTCAGTATCGATTTGCTTTTCAATTTTCCAAATTTTCAATCAACCAGAACATCAACATTCGACACATGCTGGAAACATTACATCTCAACAAACAGCAAAACTATCAAATCCAGAGTGAAGGAACTTTATTGGTTGATCGGCTAATTTAAAATTAGCATTTGAAAACAAAATCTTGACTTATGAAACAATAAGAATTCCATAATTTTAAATATTCTACAAGAATAGCTTTGGGACTATTCTATTAAATCTTATATATTATGTGGCATTGGTATAAAGGACTTAATCAATATTACTTAGAATGAAGATACACCCTGATCTACACGATGATCTGAAGGTGCTATATATTAAGAACTTCATGAAAACAAGATCAACTAATCTTCATCAAAAATTAGAAAATCATCTTAATTCTCTCGTTGCTCCGCTGCTCCATATACCAGAATTGTGAAGACTAAAATAACTATGGCCAAGTAACTTGATCCAGTAATATAGAACATACCCATTGGGGTTAACTATCTAAAATTATATATCTATGTTAAAATTATTCATAGAATATAACTGATGTTTCGATTATTGTGATTTTTTTTCTAAATATAGTCGCAATAAAACAACTCTACAAATGACGCCAATCGTTTCGAGTGACGATATCGTTGGCCAATGACGATCTAATCAGTATTTATGGCGTAACGCATTTCCGTTGCATGTTCGCTGAGTTACCCATTAATCGCGCCTAAAGAAATTTTACTTCAAAAAGTCGGATTAACAGTTCCCAATTTTACGAATATTTCTCAATGCTTGGATCAAAGTTCATAGCTGGCGGTGACTTTAACAGTAAGCATTCTCTCTGGGGCTCAAGGATATCAAATCCAAAAGGTAAACAACTGTATGAGATGATCCTTCGACATGGTTTCTCCACCTTTTCAACGGGCACACCTACCTACTGGCCAGCCGATCCTAAGAAGAAACCCGATCTGTTAGACTTCTTTGTCGCTAATGGTCTAAGTTTCAAATGTGTTGAAATACAACCTAGTTACGACCTCTCATCAGACCATTCCCCCGTGATAGCAACCATATTCTCTACGGCTGTGAACCTGCAAAGAACTCTAAAACCTCATTCTGCTAAAACTAATTGGGAACTATATCGCCAAATTACTGAGAAAAATACTAATTTAAAAATGAAACTCAAAACATGTCGGGAAATAGAAGATGGTATTGCAACATTCAACAAAACTCTGCTGGAAGCTGTTAAGGCTGCTACACCTATAGATCAACAAAATCAAAAACATTCTATTCCACTTGAAATAAAAAAACTTTTAAGTGAAAAACGTAAAGCTAGGCGCAAATGGCAACATACACATTTACCGTCTGACAAAAACATTCTTAACAACTTGACTAATAAGCTTAAATCTCGGCTTAAAGAACTAAATGAGGAAAATTTTAATAATTATGTACAAAGCTTAAATCGATATGATAACTCTATCTGGAAACCGATTAGGAACAGGCTAAAACCGGCTCTCAGGAATCCGCCTTTACGCCGTAACGATATAACAGGAGCAGTAGGTGATGATCTATCATGGGCAAGGAGCGATGGAGAAAAAGCTGAATTATTCGCCCAACATCTATCCTCAGTTTTTAAACCAAATCCTGTTCGTATCTCTTCAAATGATCTGGATTTAAACCCGTTTGCACCAGTGAATAAGGGCAGCAGCTGTCTTAAATTCTTTTCATTGAATATGGTATTCAAAGAAATAGCTAAACTAAAAACTAATAAATCCGCTGGTTTTGACTCAATTACACCGAAACTGTTGAAAGAAATGCCCAAAAAAGGGATTTATCCTACTAACATACCTATTCAACGCTATAATTAGGCTAAATTATTGGCCAGTACATTATAAAACTTCAATAGTTAAAATGATCCACAAAAACGGTAAAGACCCATATAATGTATCATCCTACCGACCTATTAGTCTCCTACCAGTGGCATCAAAAGTATTTGAAAAACTTTTGCTTAAACATATACAAAACAATACTAATGTAATTCCAGACCATCAGTTTGGCTTTCGAAGACAACACTCGACGATTCAACAATGCCATAGAATTGTGAACATCATCCACAACACCCTAGAAACAAAACAATTCTGCTCATCAGTTTTCCTTGATGTAAATCAAGCTTTTGATAAAGTATGGCACAAAGGATTAGTGTATAAGATAAAATCATCTCTCCCAATTGAGTATCATAAATTGCTGGAATCGTATCTTCAAAATAGACGGTTTAAAGTTAAAGTGAATATGGAAACTTCATCAGCCTGCTTGGTTGAAGCAGGAGTCCCTCAAGGAAGTGTACTGGGTCCATATCTATACCTGCTCTATACTAGCGATTTTCCTACAGATGAAAATTTAACAACTGCAACATTTGCCGATGATATTGCTATTCTATCTTCCGATCCTGATCCAGTTGTTGCATCGAGAAGGCTCCAGAGTCATCTAAGAGTCATTGAAAAATGGACTAGCAAATGGCGTATAAAAATTAATGATAATAAATCAACTCATGTAATATTCACACTCAACAAATCTTCTTGCCCAGCAGTTCAATTTCATGATAAGACAATTCCAGTTAAACACTCAACAAAATATCTCGGGATGATATTAGATAGCAAACTAACCTGGAAGCAACACATACTATCAAAAATAGCTCTAGTGAAAAATAGAGCTAAGGAACTCTATTGGCTCATAGGTAACAAATCAAAATTGCCTATTGAAAACAAACTACTAATATATAAAACAATAATAAAGCCGATATGGACCTATGGTGTGGAATTATGGGGATGTGCAAGAAAATCCCACATTGATTCAATCCAACGAGCACAATCAAAAATTCTGAGGCAGATCGTGAACGCTCCATGGTATGTCAGTAATAAAACCATTCATGATGACTTGAACATACCATTTGTGAAAGATGTTATTACCAGTACCAGTCATCGCCATTTTGAGAAGTTGGAATCCCATCCCAATGACATAGTTAAACAGCTTCTTCAAGAACCCCGATCTAGGAGGCTCAAAAGAAAAGTCCCAATTGATTTGAAGATTGAGCAATAAAGACCAGACTTAGCCATTATTTACCTCAGCCAGATTAGCTGACCACTCGATGGAGTGGCAGCTATTGAAACTTTTAAAATTCAGCCAATTTATTATGTGTGTGTATGACTGTGTGTGAGTATGTTTACTGTGTGAGTGTGTTTAAACATAAGCATAATAGCTCATAGAATTTTGTAAATTCTGATTGCTATTAAATAAAGTATAAAAAAAAAAAAAAAAAAAAAAAGTCGGATGGGAAGAATGATGGTTTTGCATAGCAAATATCGGTGCATATCGCGTGTTTCGTGTACAAAAGAAATAAATTTCATGTCCTCAGTTTCCATCGCCATCGAGCTGATCGGAGATGCGACCTGTTCCACGTAGCTCGCATGATCCCGTAGCAAGAGCGCTCATCCAGAATTTTAAGTGTGTAAGCCACGCCCGCTTACCTACTTCGCGTTGACACAGACCGATTTGTAGAATTCTGAAACGCTCCCGAGTTTCTGCTGATCTTATCTTTTGTTCTATAAATGAATTTTTTAATCGTGTATATATATATATAGTATACCGGGTGTTCGTAGTCTAGAGGCCATAAAAAATCATTTTTGCCAGGAATTCCGTACGTTGTCCTTTACATCTGGCCGACAGAACTCCATATCAGTGTGTTTAAGTCTTGTGTAGTCGTAACATCTACAAATATCCTCCAAAAAAATCGAGTGTTTTTAACAAAAAAATATTAGTGATATGGATATATAAATTATTACAGGTAAATAATTTTTGCTTCTCAATTTTATATAAAAACTTTTATAGTTAATTCTTATTACTCTTTACCCCGGTACATAATGCATTCCTTTATAATTTTTTTTTTCTAATTAATCTGTATTGACCATCATTAATTAATGTTAATCAATATTTTTAAAAAAACATTGTATTTGACAGAATAAACCTGATGATGGAACGTACCTAGTTCCGAAACGTCGTATTAAACATCTTCAAAAAACAAATTGTTTTTTATTATTGGATTTACTGTTCGAAAAAAAAACAAACAATATATATATATATATATATATATATATTCACAAATGCAAGCGCCACGCTTAACTGGTTGAGAAATGTTCCTAGAATACCTTAATTTAGTAGAATATTTGGTAGAAAAATGCTAGGAGTGAATAGTTGCTCCCAAGAAAATGAAAAGTCCAAATTAAACATCTGACCAAAAAAAATAATTTTCATCGTAAATTAATATATTTTTTAATAAGTTTGCTTATACAGAAATCATTATTAGGTTTCACAACAATAAATTACATTCTACATCTGTACTACAAGAGCCCATCTATATTCTTATAGAGTGCCCCGGTCCACGTAACTGCCGGTTGATTTCATTACAATTTGCCATTCCTGTGCCGCGCTCTTTCTCCTCTTCATCGTCTTTTATATTATATAAAACACCACGAGTGAAAAACGGTGTAATAGTCCAGGGGCTCGAATTGTATTCCATTTCGAGAGCCGGTTCGTTATCTTATTACGTTCGAGCTCCCCTGTAAAAGGATAATACTGTTTGATTGAACTTTTCCGCGAGTTTTGTCATGCATGATAAATATTAAAATCAATTTATTGTAAAAACGTGAAGAATTTGACGAACTTATTTCGGAATGATGTTTTCTTCTTGTTGAGGCAAAGCGACAAATCGTGTGATCGTGTCGACAAATGTGATTACAGATTAATGATTATTCCTTTCGTAAACAGAGGGAGATTCGGGGTATTAGATAATATAGTCAATGGTAAATAAGCGGTTGGGATATTGATACACTTCGAGGAAAATGTACTTTTATTGATATTTGTTATGTAAATAGCTTATTTCAGAAAAATATATTTGTATACAGTATTTATGTTACGATACAAAGTTTCACAAGTAGACTAGTCAATTGTTTTATATTTTGCGGATATTATATGGTCACCATATGATAACTATTTTTATCTCAATATTATATAGAAAAATTATATTCGCGCAAAATTAAAAACTATACAAATTCGAATTGCTAAACAATAAGGGAGACTGGGGACGGTTGTGCCAGGTTACGGTAGTAAAAATGGCAGCTAAACTATATTGATTTCGAGATAGGGTCCGAAGAAAGGAAGAGAGATTAAGTATGTTATTTCGAAAAAGTTTCCATTATTGCATAAAATCAGCGCCCTCATTAACATGATCTGTAAACCAATTAAAGATCCAAAAGTAAGTTTTTTTTTGTTAGATTTCATTCAATAATAACTATTGCTTGTATACAGATAAATCAATTTGTTTGTTATTTTGCTGAAGGACTTAAACATTAGTAGTTAATTACCAGTTTTATGTGACATAAGATACAAGTTGTTACTCTTGTCCTTTTTGGGTGAAATTTAAACAAACAAAAACTTCTAACTTAACTAAGACAAAAATATAAGAAAGAAAGGGAAAGGTAAATTCAATACAAGAAAGCAAATGATTTAACAAAGATTTATTTAGTTTAAAATATATGTTTAAAAAATATATTTCTGACAATAAAAGTCATTATAAAACCAGTTTGGTATTTATAGTTATTGCTATTTATATGTCCATAATATATGACAGTATTGCAGTATTTTCTGGCAGACAAATGTTCAAACAATCATTTAATTTATATTCTCCTAGCTAACTGGTAATATAACAAAATTATTGTTGATAAAAAAAAATTGCACAACCGTACCATGTCTCCCATACTGGCTTTTGGAACGCAAGTCAATTCTATATATTGATAATAAGCTATTAATTTACAATGTTGTAATAAAATCTATCTGAACTCATGGTACCTAACTGTGAGGCTGTACGACCAAATCGAACATTTTATTAAAATGTCTAAGATTTTGAGACTAATCACCAATGCTCTAAACATGCAATGCAATAATTTTATAAGTGTAAGTGTATGAATCTGTGAGAAATCATATATATATATATATATATATATATATATATATATATATATATATAACATATAATTCTTTATACCTACTTTATGTTTCAATTTTAAAACTAAACAATGAAAATCTATTACCAATCAGTCACGACAAACAATTCTCCCAACTGTCGGAAATTGTCATGTATAAAGAATGAAAGGAATATTTGTTCTAAATGAAAACATCATACTAGTTTCTAACTATTATAGGAAAATTATGCTGTCAAAAAAGCGAGTTTTGCTATATTACCAAAGTTTCAAGCAAATAACGCAAACTTTTTCTAGGATTGAATAATCTATGAGCTTCGCATACAGTTGAGAGACCCTGACAGATTTTTGTGCCAAGTCCATTACTGACATTAATAATTTTATATGCATATATAGCATCTGCCAACAGATATATCTATATACACGAATACATATAGAATTTTTTATATATATTTGCTAAAAGCATCAAATAATTACATTATGAGCAATAAAAAAATATTACTCGTTTATAATACTTGTGAGTAGGCATTTAATCAGGTTAATGTTCTCGTCAGCAGAGATTAGGGAATGCAATACCGATGGAAAATTTCAATACCGGTATTTCGGTAAATTTTCATTTTAAAATCGGAATACCGGTAAATTACCGGTATTTTTATTATCTTAAACAAACGTAAACAAAATTGAAAGTTAACAGTACAAATATAAAAAAATGTATATACAACTACAACTATATTCAACTAAACAATAAAAACAATAAAATAAAACAATAAGTTTATTTCTTTAAATAATAATTTAACAAAATAATATTCAATTTAATTAATTTATTATCTAGAATATTGAGTACTTTTCACCAAAAACAAACTTATGAGTAAGAAAGACCAAAAACTCATAAAAGATTATATTACATTATTATAATAAACTGTATTGTCTGTATCCGATGTGTTAAATTAGCATAATCTCCAATATTTAAAAAAAATAATTTTTCTACACTAATTTAAAATCGTATACTTTGACAAGATAAATAATAAGTTACTATAATTGATGAGTATTGTTATTTAAAACAATGTGATGCTTCTATAGTACTTTCAAACTTCGAAACGTTTTCGAAAAATAATATTTTATAATTGTAATAAGAAGCAAAAATATTTAGTAATTTTCATAATTATTATGTATAAAGTTAGAAAAAAATAAAGATTACGCAAGGGTAATCTGTATGATATAAAATATTTTGGTGCAAATATCACTTAAAAAACCGTTACATTATTTTACATCAGATGAAACAAACATTATTATTTTTCAATCCAATTCTATTTATTGTAACACGATATGAAGCCCTTAGTAAAGCAATAAATATTCAGTTTAATGGCGAGTTGAGATAATATTTGACATTTGTTTATCCTATAGAATCACTTGAAGATATAGCTGTTTATGCGGTTATGCAATTTAAAGATAAATTTGTTCCGGGCAATTTAAACTTTAGTGTATTATGTATCAAATAGCGCTTATGTAAAAATACCGAAAATACCGGTATTTTTGTGGTAAATACCGGTAAAAATACCGCCAAAAAATCGGGCGGTTTACCGGTAATTCGGTATACCGGTATACCGGTATTGCATTCCCTAGCAGAGATAATCTACCATAGAAAATTCTCGATTATGGTTGTCATTACATAATGTTGTAGTGAACTGGTTGATTAATATAAAATTAATATGGTTGATACTACAAGTATTGCCGGTAGTGCTGCTATTTGCACAAAATACATATAAGCATCCCTAAAATAACATTATCAACCAATTATCCAAACACTCAAGAACTCAAGACAACATCATACAATAATTACTGTTAATCCTTATTCAAATACTAATCACTGATGCTTTATTAACTTCCCGAAAGAGAAGTTTGTTTTCATCAAAAAATCCGATTCGCAGATTTTATGTTTTCTCGACGTTTCAAGCCATTTTGAATCGAATGAGACCAAATTTGTAAAAAGTATGTATGTGTGTGTTTGTGTGTAAACTAATTTTTTGCCGTAAATCGACGTTTTCTCAAAAACGGCTAGATCGATTTCAAAAATTTAAAAGCCATTCGATGTATCTCGATGAGGACTAGCGTTTATCAACTTTGCGCGAAAAGTAAAAAATTTATCGTCCACGATTTAGCCCGCAGTTCTGAATCGTTCGAAAGATATTGGTTGGGAATCGTGTTGATGAGTTTTTGGTAGAGATGAGTCGGGGCGTTTCCTGTAATAAAGTTTTAAGAATTTTTTTTCGACCATTTTTATTATTATTATTTTGGCGGTAGATACCAGAGTCTTCTAGATCATTTGCAAAAATTAGTATCGTTTTTTTGGCATTTGTCAAAATTGGACCTTTCAGCGACAATTGCTCAAAAACGTCTGAACCGACTTCATAAATTTAAAAACCATTTGGTGTGTCTCAATGAGAATTTTGTGCAACGATCGGCCGAGCCGTTTCTTTGAAATTTCGAAAAAAGTGTTAAACTTTTCGCTTATCTTTATGCTCATACTACTGAATCGATTATAAAAAATCAAAAACTGTTCGAAAGATATTAGTTGGGAATGATACTGATTAGTTTTAGGTAAAAATCTACCGAGCCGTTTTCTTGTAATTCGTTGTTGAAAAAAAAATGAGCCGATTTTTATGAAACTTTTTTTGATGATATATATCATGGTCTTATACAACTTATTGACATATTACGGCCTTACGACAAGTAGTTTAATTTTAAAAATTCATCAAAGTTTAATAAAAGGAGTAGATTATTTGACGTTTATTAAAAATAAAATTAGACGATTTACTTGGTATAACGATAGAGTACTTGGTTTCAATGAACATTCTAAGCCATTAAAGTCCTATGGAAACTGGTTCAAATATAAAAATTGTTAATTTTCGAAAATTTGCTTTTAGAGTCAAAGTGTTCCTTTGATTTAAAGTATGTGTAATAAATCCACTCGGAATCCTTTCAATCACTCATAAATTAATTCAGTTTTTATCGATTAAGTCGATTAATTACACATATCGGGAATTTCATGTAACTTGACTCAAGGCAAAATACTAAACCAACTAGTTAATAATCTATTTTGACATAACTGAATTAGAGAATTTGATAAGGTAGTTTCCAAAATTCAGTGTTTTAGACATGATGTATCTTTTTGATATAAAATGTAAAAACTTTTCAACTGAATTTTATTTAGTAATCTGTTTTAAAAGTGAATTTTAAACAAAATATATAATTCCCATAGATCAGAATTAGCAATAAAAGTACGAAATTCAGTGATGAATCCTAATTAGCGAAACTTATTATTATCTAATGTTGAATAATTTTATCGCAAAATATTATGAATACTACTCCGTAGTAGGTACATAGCAACTTTTGAAAAATGCCATAACTAGAAAAACTTTATAAAAGTTGGAAAATATTTTTTACTGTGAAATAAAAATTATTTCGGAGATCTTCTAAAAAGAATTGTGCTAAAAGCAGGTTCAATATTCACGTGGACTGTTATGATAAAACTATAAATATTTTATGGAATTTTGTATTAAGATAGATGGATTTAAAATTAT